GTTCTGCTATGCATAGGGTCGCTATGAGTCAGAGACGACTCCACGGTACCTAACAACAACATATGATGGACAATTATGCGGCTCATAATCTTGTTTTCAGAGAATTTTTAATAACATGGGGGGATGTTTATGACACAATGTTGAAGGAAGGAAGTAGGATGCAAAACTGCAGACATACTAATTATGCAATCCCAATTATTTAACATGTATATGTATATCATACAAATATATATTGAGGCTTTGGAAAAAAACGAGAAGGAACAACATTAAAGTTTAAGTAGTAATTATCTCTGCTTTATACTTGTCTTTTTTATACTTGTCTGATTTTGCCAAATTTCATTTATATATCTGCTCATTATAACTAAGAAAGAGGAAATTAAATATTGTAAGAGAAAAGAAGAAAATTTTACTTCTAAATTTTCAATTACAACTTTAAGTGTGGCTTCTTTTTTTCCTCTTTTTCTTTCCAGCGTGTGTGCTTGGTTTTTCCTGATCTTGGAACCAGAAGACTGCGTCCGAGAGGAAAAGCCAGGTAGATTTATCTGAATACTTTTTAATTTAAAAATATTTAAACACGAGCATTTGAAAAACCACAAAAGGGTGACAAGAAAATTCGAAACAAAACAAACTGTAAGTAATGACTCTTACCAAAGAGTTCTCATAATTCAGATTAAATCCTTGTGCCTGAAAAAAAAAAATACTAGAACCAAACACAGGTCTCCATTTTCATTGGGATTTTGTTCAAGTACAATAGTCACAATATAATTTTTGTTTCAACACCTTAAACATTTAAACATATAAGCATCTAATTATTGAAATACTTAGATAATTACCCACATAGAGTAATGAAACAATCTTAATTACTCTTTGAACTAAAAGTTCTGAGTATCTATCTAATTAGTGTATTTGAATTATATTCAGGATACTGGTCCTAAGGCTATGTTTTTAACATACAAAAGGCACTCCCAGTGCTATTGGGTGCACCATGTCATAATTGTCACTCCATTATTACTGTTTGTTATAAATCAAGACAGGAAATCAGCAAGAAGGGAGTGAAGCCAAATTAGGAAAGAGGCCTGCCACCCATGAAGGAACTGAGGCTAGTGGGAGAGGTTGCCAAACTTAGCATTGGGTAACAATTAATTTAAAACATTTTTAGTCTGCTGCGTGTGATGAGACCGAACAAGCTGCTGTAGTTCCACAGGCTCGATAGCAGAGAGGACCTGGCTGCAGAGCAGGACCTGGCTTCCCTACTGGGTTTCTGAGAACCTGGGCCCAGTTCTCAATACAGGAAAGGTGTCCTTCCACCTCACTTTAAAAAGATTAATGGCAGTGGCAACAGGAGACTTTTCCTGTCACATCTCTCTAAGGTTGTTGTGTGTGCCTTCCAGTCAATTCCAACTCATGGCAATCCTATATGGCAGAGTAGAACTTCCCCCATAAGGTTTCCAAGGCAACAATTTTTATTAATAGCAGTGAAACACTGTCTGATATATTACTGGAAAACTTTATTAATAGCCCTGCTACATTGTCTGATGTAGTGCC